GGTGCTCCCGTGCTCCCTGAGTCTGCCCCCTGAGTGTGTCCTTTATGGCTTCACGGAGCTGCAAACTGGATGGTCCCACCTGGATTTCCAAAACGACAACCGCGCCCTCAGCCGCCAGCCTGCTCCAAATGCACCTCCGCACCTTAGTATTTGACTTCTGTACTGTGCCTCCTCTGAGTCTCGGTATGCTTTTCTCTTTCCTTCTAGTTGTAGAATTTCCACTCAGCCAGCCTTCCTGTGGTTCTAGATGATGTCCGTTCTGTCTTTTAGTTGTATTTTTGAAGTGGTTGTTTGAGGTAGCAAACTTCGGGGTTTACCTATGCCGCCATCTTGGTTTTTCCCCCTCAAAAAATATTTTAAAAAAGTAAAAAAACAAAAACCAAGAATAATTACTACAAAAATTTCTTACTAAAATACAGATCCTTGGAAACTTTATCAGGAATTCAATTCCTGGTTATGTATGTATGCTAAACTTTCAGCATAGTCTAGTGAAAATAAAATACCTTTATTCTAACAGCAAAAATAAAAATGGATACTAAATCTATTAAATTTAAACCAAATATACCTAGTAAAATATACTTGATGGCTAGTATTTTGTGGCAACTTTGGATATGATTTTGTCAACTCTGGAAAACTAGTAAAGGGTGATAACTGGAGGAGAAAAAAAGGTAATTTCAGACAAATACTTAGTAATAACAAAAGAAAAGCTAGCCCTGGCCCAGTAGCTCAGTTGGTTAGAGTGCTGTCCTGATACACCAAGGTTGTGGGTTCCATCCCTGGTTAGGGTACACACAAGAATCAACCAATTCATGCATAAATAAGTGAAACAAATCGATGTTTCTTTCCCTCCCCCCTTCCTCTTTCCCTAAAATAAAATTTAAAAAAATTTTTAATTGGAAAAGAAAGCTAACCACAATGTGGAGTTTCAAATATACCTGTTGAAAATTGAAAATGGCACAGCAAACACATTTGCAAATAAAATGGCAAAAATGTAATGGAAAAGATGAATTACATTGGTAAGTGTATCATCTCTTCTGTAAAAGTACATAAGACATTTACAAGCCTGGATTTTACAGTATTAAATAAAGGTTATCAAATTCATGGATATGTCTGAATAACTTAATGCCAGTGTCAGATACAGCAGGAACAATTCTTGGCTCTGCTGCTCTGAGTTGTTCTGATCGTTTCATGAACCCTGCCCACTGTACTAATTGCTGGGAACTTAATCCAACCAGCACATCTTCAGATCCTCGGGCCTCAGTTTCCCATCCTGCTTATTGGCACTACGTGTCAGAGTCAGCAGGATCAATTCTCAGCGATGGGGCAGACGGAGAAGCCATGAGAGGTTGTGGGTGTATAAGAATTAGTCTATTGCAGAAGCCAGTGGCACAGCTAGTTTTACAAGTTTACTGAACATAAGAGTACTTTGGTGGTTTATCCCACCTCTAAAAGTAATGGTCCTTACTACAACTTTGTTTAGGAGTCTCCACCATCTATGGAACCCTCACCTAACAAACAAAACATATAGTAACTACCTTTCTTATCTAGGCAGAAATAGCCCAGCAAAAGTGGGTGAGGGTGAGGGTGGAATCAAGAGTGTTTTGCCTCAGTATTAAAAGCATTGTCGGTAGCCTTAGTATGTTATGCTCAGTGGATAGAGTGTTGGCCTGTGGACCAGAGTCCCAGGTTCAATTTCAGTCAAGGGCATGTAGGCTCTTCCCACTCCACGCCCTGACCAGGGTGACTGCTGGAGGCAACCAATTGATGTGTTTCTCTCACATCGATGTTTCTCTCTTTCCCTGTCTCTTTCACACTCCCTAAAAATCAATAGAAAAATATCTTTGGTTGAGGATGAAAAAAAAAAGGCATTGTCTTTGATCAAGAACTATTGCTTTTATTTTTAGTAATGGCATGAGAAACTGGTTTTTAAACAAGAAGGACCTTCCAGGCTCTTTTTACTTTTTCCCCAGTGTATTACAAACAGCTAACTATGTAAGTTACAAATTTGTTTAGATATTGTAAAAAGTGGCAAGTAGATGCATTGAAGTTAATTTTGATGATATACCTATTTCTGCCCTGACCGTGTTAGGATTGTATGTTTGTAACCTGGACTATACACCATCTATGAAGGGAAACTGAAGCCTAGAACAGTGTCATCACTTGCCTGAGGACACAGAGCATACATAATTTTCCCATTAATGTATTTTTAAAAAATAAAACAGGTGTCTTTTGCACCACTCTGTTCTCAGTGCCTGGTCCATAATATCTGATCAATTACTGTTCGTTGAACCCAACATATTATCTAATTTCATCAGTTAGCACTTCTCACATTCTTTGGTCTTGAACCATGTTACACTCTTACACTCCATAGCTCTCTTTACACTCTATAAGCCACTATAGTAAGTTATTTGGGGGTACTTAACAGCCTCTTGAGATCTATCAGTTTGTTTTATGCGTACATGGAATAGATCTCTAATATTTTTATTGATTTCAGTGAGGAAGGGAGAGGGGAGAGGGAAACATCAATGATGAGGGAATCATTGATCGGCTGCCTTCTTTATGTCCCACTACTGCAACTCTGGCTTGGGTTCCCACCATAACTGAATCATGACCTCCTGGTTTATAGATTGACGCTCAACCACTGACCCACAAAGGTAGAGTATGATTTTGCTTATACACAAATCATTCTTTGTAGATAATTAAGTTGAAGAACCCTAGGAATAGTTTGGAACAAAATGTAAGAAAAAAGGGGCGGGGAGTTAAGAGAGTTGTAGTAAGTAATCCAGCCTGTAAGAAGGACGTGAGCTGAAGTTTCAAGAACTTTCGCCTTCTGTTTCAGTGATTGAGAATGGGGCAGAGGGCAAAGGGAGAGTCAGCCACGGGCCCATTACTTTCAGAGGTGCTAAAGTATCAAATCTTTTGACAGCGCAGGTTCAGTACTATGCATTGTTTATTAGTAACGGGAACCAGGCCAGTTCCCGAGGCTCTTGCTACCAGTGGTGCAGAGCAAGTAGAGGAGGTCCATGCGTCCTCGACCGCACTCGAGTCCTCTTCAGTATCTTTCTGATGTCATCCTTCCCCACAGCTTCTTTCTTTGTACATCTCTCGTGTCCGGTTACAGGCCCGGAATACTTCCTTGGGCGAAGGTAAGTTGCAAAAAAACAACGACTTCGCTCATCTGGTGACTACCATTTAACGACAGATGTGTCCAACAACCAATTAGCACTCGCAGTTGCCAGTTCTCTGTCCCCAGCTCAGTGGGCAGGACTCCGGCAGCTAGCAAGTTTAGTTGAACTACAGCTGACGTGAGTCAACAAAGGTCACGTGAGACAAACCGGTCGCGTCAATTGGCAGCGCCTGGCTGCTTGGGACAGGGGAGGCATCACGGGAACTTTGGGTTCGCTCCTAGACACAATTACAACTTTGCGCTAGAGGTTTCGAAGTTTGTGATTCTACGAAATCCTCCCAGCACCGCTAGCTTCCGTCTGTTCTGGTGTCCCCGCCTATCCTGAGATGTGATCGGTAGCCAAGGTTCGTAGCCTTTGCATCCTCTGCTTTCGCCATCACCTTGGGATTCTTTTCGCCACGATCCGTGGTGGAGGCCGTGGCAGTGTTAGTGTTAGTCTCACACGGCAAGGGCGTTTTTTGAGAGCTAGACTGAGGGTTGGCGAGTTTCAGAGGTAGAGTTTTAAATTTGTTGCTTTTCCATGAAATCCTGCGGAGTGACGCTTGTTACTGCCACCTCTTTCTGTGATGAGGGAAAGAAAATGGCGGCGGGAAAAACGAGCGGCGAGAGCAAGGAGGAGTCCTTAAGCCTGACAGCCGAAGAAGAAGAGGTACTCGGCGGATTGGACAGGTACGCACCACCATCACTTCCTTAACAGGTTCTAGACAGGCTGGCGCCACTTTACAGGTAGCTGCAGTGCAACGTGGGTCGGGTGGCAACAGGGGGGTTATCTCAGAGCTTTCCGGCGTCAAATACCGGAACCTTGGGCTCCAGAAGAGTCTAGACTAGACTCTAGTCAGTGGCTTTTATATAACCTTAACTAACGAGCTTCATGTATCTCTTATCATAGCCGGCTCTTTGGGTTCGTGAGGCTTCAAGAAGATGGCGCCAGGACGAAGACCCTATTGGGCAAGGTAAGGCAACCGCATGGGCCTTGTGTGTCTGCCCCTGTTTCGGCTCCCGCGGCTCCCAAGGCTGGTTGTCACTCATTGTGACTGCAAAGGGAAAGCAATATTTTTGGTCTTATTTCACTCTGGATAACTAGATTGAAACTCTGTTATATACCTTGAGGGGCAGAGACAGCGCCGCTTTGGGACTCCACAGTTATTTTAGTGTATTTTGTGTATCTGAAATATAGAAATCACAATGTAAGCTGCTTTAAATATTTCGACTTCTATTATCCTCTTCTCGCCCAGTTATTTATTTATTTATTTTTTGGCTCCGGCCTGGGATGATTAATTTTAACTACACTTTTTAATGAGTTTCTTCTGTCCCTTTTCTCGGGTGAATTAAGCTACAGGTACTTTACAACTGTAAACAGTTCGGTTTTTTAACCAGTATCTTTATCAGTTCGTGTCTGACTTAAACTTATGTGATTTGTTTACTTGTTTGGGGCTACCTGCCACACATATAATGCTTTGAGTACTATTTAATTTAATTTATTTTTTTCCCTTGTGCCTTGTTTCTGATGGAGACCAGGCCTGGATTTTCTGTTTATGAGTGTGAAAAGTTCTGGAACTGCTATTTAGTTAATGGCTGCCCCTATCGGCCGTGGCCAAGATGGCGGGAAATAGTGGGAGGAGAAATGAAGGGACAAGGGAAAAGATAAACAGGGACATAGTAAATATAAGTAGACCTTACCTTCTGCCTGAGTACTTTGTTGGTGTTTCATAAAGATTGACCACTATTATTTATAAGTAGTATTCTGATATCTTTACAAGCTTCTCACCAGCATTTATAAATCTAAAATGTTCTCATTGCCCTTGATGGTTTGGCTCAGTGGATAGTGTTAGCCTCTGGCCTGAAGGGTCCCAGTTTTGATGCCAGTCAAGGGCACATGCCCATTGTGGGCTCGATCCCCAGTAGGGAGCCTGCAGGAGGCAGCTGATCCATGATTCCCTCTTATCATGGATGTTTCTATCTCTCCCTCTCCCTTCCTCTTTGAAATCAATAAAGAAATATATATATTTTTTTTTTTTTTAAAGAGAAAGAAAAGGAACTTCAAAGGGGACTGGAGTACACTTTTGGAGGTGATGAATTTGTATTATCTCGATTGTGGTGATGGGTTCATGGATATGCACATATGCCAAAACTTTTTGAGTTATGCATGTTAAACGTGCAGTTTTATTTCATGTCAACTTTAATTCAATAAAGATGGGGGTGGGTAGAAGGGTAACATTTAGGAGGCAGAGATCTGAGAAATTTCTAGCATACTCCCCAGAATACTTTATTGCACTTTAATTTTTCAGTTGAGTCTTGACCTAAGCAGGTAAGAAATCATAAAAGTCTCAAAGCTAAGAGAAGTTAATCAAGGTAATTTATATTTCCATTTCACACAAAATATTCATAGTAGTTAAACAAAACATATTACCCTGTATCTTATGAATTCTTTCAACCAGTATTTCTGTTTCTTTTTTAAAATGTATGTATATTTTAAGCTTTTATTTAATTGACTTAGAGAAAGAGGAAGGAAGAGAAACATCAATTTGTTGTTTATCCATTTATGCATTCATTGGTTGTTTTTTGTATATGTCCTGACCCAGGATTGAACCAAAACCTTGGCTATTGAGACAATGCTTTAACAAACTGAGTTAACTAGCCTAGGCTCTCTTTCCCTCACTCTACAATTAATAAATAAAATTGGTTAAAAGAAAAAAAAATACAGTATCATTTTTATTAACATTTCTTTAATGTAATGCTAGACATCTGAGAAATCTGTCTCAAGAAACTATTGCTAAAATGCCCATTGTTGTTTATTTTGAAGTATCTTTATCAATTATTTCTTGTTTTAATTCCCACCTGAGAACATTTTTTTCATTGACTTTTAGAGAGAGTGGGAGAGGGGGAGGGGAATAGAGAGAGAGAGAGAGAGAGAGAGAGAGAGAGAGGGAAAGAAAGAGAAAGATTGATATCAGAGAAACACATCAATTGGTTCCTTCCAGTACATGCAACCCAGGTACAGTATATGTGTTTGGAAATCTGAACTTGAGACCCTTTGGAGCTGGAGCCAATTCTCTACTGAGAACACTGTCTAGGGCTCTTTATCAATTTTTAGTTTGATCTAGATAATTTGTTATTGAAATTTTTTTCTTTCCTTTTTTTTTTAATCCTCATTTTAGGATATATTTTTCATGATGAGAGAGAGAGAAGAGGGAAAAAAACCAAAACATTGATATGAGAGAGAAACATGCAACAGTTGCCTTCCACATATTTACCACAAAAACCTAGGCATGTGCCATGACCAGTAATTGAGCCACAACCATTTTGGTTTACCAGATACACTCCAACCAACTGAGTCACGCTGTACAGGACTGCCCTGGGGATAACTTTAGAATAGCTGGTGGTTAAATCTTTTTGATTAATGGAAGTATTTTAAAATATATGAAAGCATGCATTTTTCTAAATAATATTCTAAATATTACATGGAGAAAACTTACTTTCTTGAAGTGTTTCGTTTTTTTTTAATCACTCACCCACCCTCCCCTTTCCCTTTCTTGAAGTGGTTTTTATACCGTAATATTTGGTGATTTTAAAGATAATTTTGCTTTATATATATATGTTCTGTTTATAAACATATACTCCTTTTCAGTTAAGAAGGTTGTGTTCAAGTGACCATAGAAATAATGTCATATTGATAACCTAAAGTGCCCCAAGATTTTTTCCCTGGGGTCATGTCTTATGATGCCCAAGAATGAGCTCTGCAGACCAGAAGATTTAAGCAAAATGTGGAAAATTTATTACAAGTTGATTCAGACTCCCTTCATGGGAGAGGTGGCCCAATCATGGGCTGCCCATTGAAGCCTTTTAGTCCAGAGGTATATAGTTTCTACATGTTTGGTTCCTGTGATTAGGCTGGCTCAAACTGCTGTGTCTGCCTTTACCTATGTCCCACCTGTTTTGTTTCCCTCTGGACCCCTGCCCTGCATGTTTCCAGTTAACCCTCTCAATATTCTGTTACTTGGAAATTAAGCCTTTAATTTGTGATTAAAAAGGGTATTTTCTTGTTAGGAAAGTTGTCTTCTAAACAACATGGTTTTATTGTTTACATATTATTCGACAAGGTCTTAAAGTAGATATTACATGGGATTGTTATAAAAATTTTTTTAAAATTAAATCTTTATTGTTCAGATTATTACAGTTGTTCCTCTTTTTTCCCCCCATAGCTTCCCTCCACCTGGTTCCCACCCCACCCTCTGCCCTTACCCCCGCCAACCACTGTTGCTCATCCATAGGTGTATGATTTTTGTCCATTCTCTTCCCACAAGCCCCACACCTCTTTCCCCCTGAGAATAGTCAGTCCACGCCCTTTCTATGCCTCTGATTCCATTATATTCACCAGTTCATTCTGTTCATCAGATTATTTATCCAGTTGATTTTTAGATCACTTGTTCATAGATGTGTATTTGTTGTTCATAATTTGTATCTTTACCTTTTTCTTCTTCTTCCTCTTCTTAAAGGATACCTTTCAGCATTTCATATAATACTGGTTTGGTGGTGATGAACTCCTTTAGCTTTTCCTTATCTGTGAAGCTCTTTATCTGACCTTCAATTCTGAATGATAGCTTTGCTGGATAAAGTAATCTTGGTTGTAGGTTCTTGCTATTCATCACTTTGAATATTTCTTGCCACTCCCTTCTGGCCTGCAAAGTTTCTGTTGAGAAATCAGCTGACAGTCGTATGGGTACTCCCTTATAGGTAACTGACTTTTTTTCTCTTGCTGCTTTTAAGATTCTCTCTTTGTCTTTTGCTCTTGGCATTTTAATTATGATGTGTCTTGGTGTGGTCCTCTTTGGATTCCTTTTGTTTGGGGTTCTCTGCACTTCCTGGACTTGGAAGTCTATTTCTTTCACCAGGTAGGGGAAGTTTTCTGTCATTATTTCTTCAAATAGGTTTTCAATATCTTGCCCTCTCTCTTCTTCTGGTACCCCTATAATTCTGATGTTGGTACGCTTGAAGTTGTCCCAGAGGCTCCTTACACTATCTTCGTATTTTTGGATTCTTTTTTCATTTTGCTTTTCCGGTTGGGTGTTTTTTGCTTCTTCGTATTTCAAATCTTTGACTTGATTCTTGCGATCCTCTGGTCTGCTGTTGGGAGTCTGTATAATATTCTTTATTTCAGTCAGTGTATGCTTAATTTCTAGTTGGTCCTTTATCACAACATCGAGGGTCTCACTAGATTTCTTAAGGATCTCAATACATTTATCGGCGGTTTCCATAAAATTCTTGAAAAATCTTAGAACCGTGGTTTTGAACTCTATATCCAGTCGTTTGCTGTCCTCCATTTCTGTCATTTGTGACCTGTTTCTTTGTCTTCGCATTTTGTCTGCTTCCCTGTGTTGGTAGAGTGGTTTTGTGTGCTAGGTGTCCTACAGGGCCCAGTGGCTCAGCCTCCCCAGTTACCTGAGGTGGACACTCTTGGTGCACCCCCTTGTGGGCTTTGTGCACAGTCTTGTTGTAGTTATGCCTTGATTGTTTTAGGTGTCACTGGGAGGAATTGACCTCCAGGCCAATTGGCAGTGAGAATCAGCTGTGTCTGCAGTGGGAGAACTTCTGTGCTGAAGACACCCTTCTGGGGCAAGACTTGCTTCAGTGGGGCTTTGGTGCTCACTGAGTCTGCCCCCTGAGTGTGTTCCTTATGAATCTGAGGAGTTGTAATCTGGGTGGTCCCACTCTGACCACTGGGTACACTGGCTCTTGGATCTAAGGAGGTGCTAATTAAGCCTCTTCCTGAGGTTACCCAGCAGGAGCTATGAAGAGATATGCAGATTCCCCTTCCTTTTTTGGGGGTTTGGGGGTGCCCAGATGAGGCCCAGCTGAGAAGCAATGCAAGCTGCTGTGGGGCCTTGGGCCTTCTCTTGGAAGTTCTGGGTCTGTCTGGCCCAGCTGCAATTTGTTAGGTAGTTGTCAGGTTGGAAAGGACCCGGGCATTCATATGCAAAAGGCTTTGCAGCAGCCTGGATGGGGCGGGGTCTCAGAATCAACAGGGCGGAGCAAGCAGCTATGGCTGATTCTCAGCCCTGCCCTAAGGGGCCGCGCATCTCAGTGTCCCGGTAATTGCTGCCAGCACCTCTGAGGGAAAGCCGCCCTCAAGTTCCGAGTTCCGCCTGCTGCCAGACCGTCCAGTTTCTCCCTGTATGAGCCCTGGGACCCCAGAGATTTCCCGGAACCGGAGTTCAGAGCAGTCAGGAGCTTGTGACTCCCTCCTGATTAAAAAAGACAGCCGCGTCCTCAGGTGCC